CTAGAAAGAGCCAGTTCCCAGTAGCCAATGGATATTTGAAAAGCCTTTTTTCTTCTCTCCTTTTGAATGACTGTATTGGCTTTGTTTTAAGTCAGCATTGTTCCTGTAGTGTATTGTTTTGTCCAAATATCACTTTAGACATAATTAAGGAAAGTTAGTGATCAGTTGGAAAAAAAAAGTTTGTTTTTCCCCTTTCCCAAACTCCCGTTTTACACAGCCACACAACCCATGTGTATTCTTTCTGTTATAATTGTGCAAACGTATTAGAAGCTTATTTAAGTGACTCAAACAGTTGACTGTGTATAGTCACGACAAATTTTATTTAACCTGTTTTTTTGATTTTAAATATAAAAGTTTGTCTGCCAGTCCAGACTCTCAATATCTTCTTTGTTTTAAATTGTCTTTTATTTGCAAGGTGACACTGCTTGACCCTCCAGAAGAGTGATCTGACGTTTTGGAATCTATCTAAAAGTAATAGATGCAACAATTTGCGTTTATGTAATCACCTTTAGTATAAAAGCACAAGGCATTCCACGGTGAACACAGGCAGGGAGAGAAATAACCAAAAGCTTGGTTGAGAAGAAGACTCAGTCAGGGAGTTTAGGCAAGAAAGTCAAACCAAGGTTCACCTGCCAATGGTGGAACAAATGAAGAGAGCAGTGCACAAAGGGTAGGGGCAGAGTCGGAGGCCCAGTGGGTGAGAGAGAATAATTAAGGCTGGATTGGTTGCAGACATAAAATAGAGAAAAGCTGTGAAAGAATTTGAAAGATGAGATTAAATTAAGGCATGAGAACAAGATTCCAATGTAGGCTACTGAGGATCAAATGATGGGCAGCAGGAATTTGCTGTAAGATATGGGTCGTTAGATTTTGGCCAATTTTGGAGGGTGAAGTAGTAATACAGTGGAGCACAAATGTAATTAAAGTGTAGAGAATGTCAGTTGTGGGATGGCTGAGGTTGGGGTGTAAGTAGATCAGCACGGCTGGTAGGGGATAGGATGTGGGATTTGATTTCAATACTGATTTGAAGAAGATGGCAACATCTCACAAGCCCAGCAGCAGGTGGCAGCACTGGATTGGAATCAAAACCATGGCTTAGATCTTGCTGTATTCAATTCGTGGAAGTAGTTAATTACCCATGACAGGACATCGCAAGACCTGATGTCCCAGCGGTGGTTGTGGGGTGGGAAGGACAGGTGAAGAGGAAGAGCTAGAGTTGTAACATGTTTAGAAATTCCTCCCCACTCTTCCTGTAGATGATAAGACTAAGGGTCAGTTTGTAGGTGAAGAAGGGACAGATGATAGATCATTGATTTGAAGAGGTAATGGCACAGCAGCAAAAAGAGAAACTATCATTAATGGTTGTTTTTAGACAGAAATGGGAATACACTACAACAGTAAATATGCTGTGGAGAGGTGAGGAGGATAAGGAAGGATAATGTACCACAAATGGCACCCCATCCACCATCTTAAACATTCACTCCCTCCACCACTGACACACAGTGGCAGCAGTTACACTATCTGCAAGGTATGCTGCAGAAACTCACCAAACCTCCTTCAACAACACCTTGCAAACTTGTGGCCTCTACCTCGTAAAAGGACATGGGCAGCATTTGCATGGAAACACCACCACCTGAAAGTTGCCCTCTAAATCACACCCCATCCTAATTCGGAAATATATTGCCTTTGTTGTTGCTGCGTCAAAATTGTGGGTGTACTTTACACCCCAAGGACTGCAGCGGTTCAAGAAGGCGGCCCACCCCCACCTTCTCAAGGGTAAAATGCTGACCCAGCCAGTGATGCCCACATCTCAAGAGTGAATTTTTAAAAGTCATGATCACATAGAATGCTATTAATGATTTTAATTAGGGCTGTCTTAGTGTTAGCAATAAGAAAGGTAGATGTCAGACAGGAGCAATTCACAAAGGTAGCTTAATTTGCAGCATAAGATCAACATGGGTGATATATCATTTGTACAGAAAGTGGGACATTAATATGACATGCACACGTTGCATGAATGCAGTATATATCTGCATGAAAAATTCACTTTCAGTCACAAGCAGTTTTACCTGGTAAATATCAGTGGCTATGCTGATGATACAATTTGTACCTGAAGTTATGCATTTATGAACAAATGTTAGCATTGCATTTCCTGTTGAAAAGTGAAAGGTGTTCAAACACACAGTCACGATCATGATCAGATTCCTATCAGTACCAGGAGCGTAAGTGTACCCACGCAACAGATTTAAGCAGACCGTGCAACTCTCCTGTATTTACCTGGCATCTCCACTCATCTGAAGATCACAATCTTGCACCTGTGGAAGGCCCAATTATCGACAGTGCTAAGTGGCATCTGTAATAATATTTGTGTTATCTAGATGTAGCACAAATGAGGTCTGAGGATTCTGTTTACTTGAAGATTTCTGGTGTGTTTCTTTACAGCTAAACTGATACATATACTACAGAGTCATCTCCAGATACAGCCTGTGCTTCAAGTGCTACAACGCAAAGAGCTTCTGGTACTTGGCTGATTTGCATGTTGAACTCTTAAAAGAAATCACTCCAAACATGATAACATCCCCTTTTGTTTTCCAAAATGAGCTCATGTATGATATAAATGAAAACGTAAACATTGAGTAATAGCAACATTAGTTACTCACAGATTGGGATTGTAACATTTACCAAGTGCATATCATTTCAGCAGTTTGATAGCTCTTCCAGATCTTGAAGAAAGGCCGAATACTGCGGATGCTGGAAATCTGGAGCAAATGCATAGAATGCTGGAGAAACTCAACATCTCTTGCCGCAAATGCTGCCAGACCTGCTGAGTTTCTCCAGTATTCTCTGTGTTTCTTCCGGATCTCATTCTGTGGTAACTTTCTGGAAATGTGAATTTCACCCTTGGCTGTTCTTGGTCTGCAGACGTCATCAGTGTGGTGACTGTTGTCCTGGTAATCCATCACACTCATCATCTGGGTGTGTTCTTTCGTGTTTGATGCACACAATTGACATTATACACTTCGCTCAAATGGCATCTGTTTCCTGACCATAGCTGCATTAGGTGTTGTGATTTCATAAGACCAGGGCCCGCTGAGCACTTTGGAAACCTCTACGAGTAAGCAGATTCCCCTGTAATGTGTGGGACCCTGCCATTTTGTACTACATGTAGTTGGGGTAGTTACTCAGCTGTATGTGCCGTCTTCATCCTCCCTTGTTTGTCAAGACATATGTCCTGCATCTCAGAGAATTGGATGGTGGTCGCTTGGCAAGATCATTCTCACTTGCCTTTCAAACATGATCTCTGCTGGCAATGGTAGCCCCATATCCAGAGGTTGTAGCTTTGAGGCGACATGAAATTCTTGTTCTGTTGTCCTACACTTCATGATGAGTGACCTAATGGTGTGAACCATTTGTTCAGAGGGACCATTTGATCAAGAATAATGTAGTGAGAGCCTCAGCGGTTTTGCAGCCCACTTAGCGCATGTTGCTGAGAGTTCAACCCATATACTGCAGCCTATTGTCAGAAATGATTCCATCAGGTGCACCAAACAGATGAATGTGACACTCAATGTGACTGCCATGGACATGCTTGAAATGTTCTTTAGCTGTCTGACAATTGGAAATTGGAGAAGCAATCAGTAACTATGATGAAATTGTCTACTTTCACTGTAAGTAGATGGGTGGCAACTTTGGACCAAGGGACTGACAAAATCTCATGTTGGTGGTTCTCTATTGCTGTGGCTAGTGGCTCTGGCACGTCCTCAGTAACTTTTGCACATCATACGTCCTCGCTGACTTTTCAATGTCACAGCCAATCCCTGGCCACTAGATCATACCACGTGCCAGTCATCATGCTTATATGTCCTTGGTATAGCTACGATAGGATGTCCTGACAGAGAATTTTGGGAACAAGGATTTGTTTTCCTTTGAAGATGATGGTTGTCAAGATACTGACCTCTGCAAGGCCAAAAGTGTCTGGCACCTCTTTTATCATCTCAAGTCCACTTTCAAAGATCACTTTTCCATTGTGCCTCCTGTTGTGGGGCATTAGCTGTTTCTGATTGAATATGTTCACACTGCCCCAAATGTAGTAAATCGATTTTGAGCACATCTTCCACCTCAATATCCA